ATATAAAGAAATTGAAGCTAAAATTTTTTCTAAAGAAAAGTATTTGTAACTAAAAGCTGAAGTTTTTTGAAATGTTCTAAATTGCATAATTATTCGTCTCTAATAATTAAACTGCATTAAAGATGTTAAGTAATAATCTTTATTTTCTGAAAAGTCTGAAGCCTCAATCTTTATTTTTTGAAACTGAAATATTAAATTATTTTTATTTTATTAAAGAGCACTTGTTCGTAAGAGGGAAAAATTTAGTATGCTTCAAAAATTTATAATTTATTTTTCCTGATAAACTCAATAATAATTAACTGACTTGGCAGTATCTTCTTATCTTTTATGCTATCTATATAGCTTTGTATGGTAGATTAACGTTAATATTTCAATTAAAATAGTATCGCTAACATCTTGATTATCACCGTTTTTTATACATTTTATTTTAAAAGAAAATTTTTAAAATCAAAAATTCCTTTTCCTGAACAGAAAATTAAATGTAATAGTCAAATAAAAACTAAATAATACACTAAATTTCTTTAAAAAAATAAGTTCTGTTATGAGATGATATTCAAAACTAAGAGCTTGTTGCTCTAAGTTTTTATCAAAATGCTTAGTAACTAAGTTTAAAAATATTGAAATGCTAAATTATTTATCTCTGTATAAGAAACATTTTAACTACAAGAAATTAATTCCTTATGTAGTTGGTCCAAGTAGTTTCAATATTATGCTTGTAAAAACAAAAAAATAATTAAAATTGACATTAGGTAATTGATACAGTGTAATGTTACGCATTAAAGCCCGTGATAACTAACTAATGAGATAAGCTTTAACATGATTTCATCTCTAGTTTAGTAGAACTCTTTTGTCATTGCACATTGATAACTTATTCATATGTTGCAAACATAAGGTTTATTATTTAGAAGGGGCTAAGATTGTATATAGGGGGGGAGGGTGCAGCTTACTACTATACTCTTGGAGACAGGTGTGAACCTGATTGGTTAAACATTCTTATAGATAAGAGCTATTGTATGACTAATTGATATTCTTGAATATTTGCTATACACCTCAAAAAAAGTATTGACCATTTAGTCTTAGAACTTCGTCTAAGAATCATTTCGTGGTGAAGAAATATTTGTTGTAGAAAATTGTGAGCCGTGCAGTGAACTGTCGAAGAATACGAATTATATGTTACAGGACGCTGTAGGGATACTTGACGTCTAATACCTCTGTATTGAAAAGGTAAGCACATTTAAACGATATTTTTCTATTTATTTGTGAATCTTGAACTATTAAATATTCTTTTTTCATCTGGTTAACATGAGAATTTCAGAACTATCAGTAAGTTTTTCCCCTGTATAAGCCATTTTAATGCAATTAAAACTATTTAAAGAACAATTTGCAGTAAATTTTTGCTTTTAATAAACTAACTTCCATTTTGAATTTATTTTGGTAGCAGAGTATTTAGCTAAAGCTAAGTTTTGACAAATTTATTTACCTCTTTTTGCTAAATAAATTCGAATTAATGTGGTTAATTCTTAAATTCATTTTCATAGAAAAAGATTTTATTCATAAAATAGATAATACATATCAAGCTTACATTTTACCTATTATTTACAATTTCATAAAATGTAATTTTTAGTATTTTCAGTTATTTGCCACTTTTATTTAAAATGTTAGTAGATTTTGAAACTCGTTTCATTTAATTTTTTAAATTTAATTCTTTTAAAATATCATTGATTTTTTCTCTAATTTTAACACAATTTGTTTTCATCACTGTTGCGGAATGTTAGTAAATTCTGATATTTTTTTCAGATTCGGTATTTTTTCATTTTCGATTTTTTTATTTTCTAATTTTTATTTACTTCTTACATTTTAAAACAATGCTAGTTAAGGAGTGTTTTAAGGAATCATTGCTTGTAGGTATTTCATTTCTTACGAACTAATTCGAAATTAAAAACTAATATATAGTCTGTAAATTTGATAATTTAGTCATTTCCAGATTTGACTTTCTTTTAATGAACTTTTTTTTTTGAAAAATGTGTAAGGATTTTTAAATTTATTCTGTCGACCTGAAAGTCCAATGTTAGTAGCGTTGTTTTCTAAGTGTTTTACGTAAATTTAAAGTTTTAAAAAAAGTCAACATTTATAGTTTTTTGCTTTAAATCATCATCAAATAAACACTGATTTTTGCTAAATTAATCATGTTATTTTCTTCATTAGAAATTTAAGAGGTCAAATTTATTTTCATGAATACAAATTTTTATTATATTGTTTCAAGTAAGGTTTCCACCATATAAACTATGAGGCTATTTTATTAATTTGAAATAAACATGTTTTGAGAATAGCATGTTACACATAATTTGAGAATAGCATGTTACAAGCGTAAGTCAAAACTGGTAAAGATTAGTAAAAAATTACCGCATAGTTCGCCTTTTAGTGATGTGATATGATCGAATAAACTTTTGAAAGCTATGTAGTGTTTATCAGGCGTTCCTTTTTCATGTTTGGCGACTGTAATTACTTTATTTTTAGGTATATTTACATATATGATTTAACTAAAATGCATATACTTAATGTAGTATCTGTTATATTTAAGATTTTGTTTTAATTATGTACAGACAATATGTAGCATATTATTTAATATTCTCATGAGTTAAATAAACCTTAGCTTTATTTAGCTTATAAAAATAAAAGAAAGGAGAGGAAGGCGATCAGATTATGCTTACCAATTAAGCATTTATAAAGTCTAGAGCATAAGTTTCGATTCCTTAGGTGAGCACACATCTTTATGGTTAAAGTCGAATTTATCGTCTATTTGTACTTAAATTTATTTTTAAACCAAAGAGGGGATTTGTGTATCTAGATTATAATTTACCAGTGATTTACAATTTCGTAAAAAGTTATTTGCCACTTTTATTTATAATGTTAGGAGTTCTAGGTTAGAATTGGAGGTTATGCATTGTTAAAAACTACTACTCTCTTTAGAGTATGCAAAAAAGAAATAAATTAAAATGGTATTCAGATATTACTACTATTTTATTTAATTCTCTCCGTTTGTATTATATTGTCATTTTTGTTAGGTTTAAATGTATTGATCATTCTTAATCAGTTTAAAATTACTTTTAATATCTTCGGCAATTTAAAACTCCTTAAATTTATAAAGTGGGTCATCCGACTTTTAAAGAGATTCTTAGTTTCAGCATTAAAATTTTATTGATTTGACATTAACATAATTTTTTTTTTCATCACTGTTACAGAATGTTAGTAAATTCCGATATTTTGTTCTGATTCGATATATTTTGTTTGAAGTGAATTTTTTTATTTTCTGATTTTTCTTACATTTTGAAACAATGCTAGTTAAGGACAGACTTCTTACATTTTGAAACAACGCTAGTTAAAGCTAGTTAAGGACAATGCCAGTTAAGAGCAGACTTCTTAAATTCCTCTTTTAGAAATTGTTTCGAAATTAAAAACTATTATATAATTTATAAATTTGATAATTTAGTCGTATCCAGATAAATCGATAAAAAAAATTAAAATTACAGTGAAATTAGCTACTATAATTTAAACTTAACGTTACAGTGTACATTTATTGTTATTTCTCGTCTGTGTGCTTCATTATTAATGATAGGGCTTATTTCTTCATAATTAAAAAAAAACGAATTTTAAGGCAATGTGATACTTTTATAAAAATATTAGTTGATATTAAACTTTTTTTCCCTTAAAATATGGAAGGATTTTTAAATTTATTTTCTCGCGCAGAAATTCCAATGTTAGTGCCGTTGTTTTCTACATGTTTTACGTAAATTTAAAGTTTAAAAAAAGTTTATGTTTAAATATTGTTTTAAATCATCAACAAATGCCACTACTTTTTGCTAAATTAATCATGTTATTTTCTTCTCTAGAGAAATTTAAAAAATTAAATTTTTTTAATGTAAGCACAACTTTTTATTACATTGCTTTGAATAAGTTTCCACCATTTAAATTACGAAACCATTTTATTAATCTGAAATAAACATGTAGAAAGCTGTATTAAGAGTTTTTTATTGTGGAAATCAAACTGGCAAAATTAAAGAGGTATTATTAATAACGTTCCAATAAAAAAGTTTGACTGGATAAAATTAATAAATAAATATTTTTAGCGCTGTAAAATAGTTAATTTCATTAATAATAAAAAAATATGTCAAATAAATTTATAATTATTATGTACATTGTTAAAGAACATTAAAAAAATGTCTGGTTTTTACCTAAATTACATAAAGTATTCAAAGGAATAGGCTTCATTGGAAGAGCCTTGAAATATGTTATTTTATAATTTAATCAACCAATATGTAAAATCGCAGTAGAATGAGAATTTTTAAGGGCAATGGAGCTTACTATAGTGATAATCAGACATTTTTTTTATAAAACTACTCCATTTAAATTTAAAATACATCATTGTGGAAATTGCGGTAATTACTGAGTGAATAAGTATGTTTAAAACTACAAGGATATGGTAATATTTGTTCGTGTTTTTGAATCTATACAAACACAAGATATAAACAAGAGATACTGAAAATTTCTGCCGAGGAGCTTTAGTAATAATTTTACTATTGGTCTATCTTAAAATTAAATATTTGGTCTGTTCCATAATATATTACATATACATCTAGGTGTAATTTGATTATTCATTTTCACCAAGATTTATTTCAGAACCAAACAGTCTGTGCAAGAGTTATACAGCAATGGGGCTCTCTAAAGTTAATGTTAATATTCCAGCCAATCACTTTTTAGTACATCTAGGTTAGAATCGAAGGTTATGCGTTGTTTAAAATTATTACTTTCCATAGAGTATGCAAAAAGAAGAAAAAATTTTAAATTGTATATTGCCATTTTTGTGGTATGTTGTCATTTTTGTTAGGTTTAAATATATTAATAATTCTTAATTAGCTCGAAGTTACGTTTAATGCCTATGAAGATTTAAAACTCTTTAAATATATAAAATGGGTCATTATACATTTTAAGAGAAACTTTAGTTTCATATTTAGGACATTTTAAAATCTCAGAACTATATAATTTAAAGTAGTGATAAGCCAAGTGTTAACTTTTTTAAAAATAAATTTAGGTATAAATTGAAAGTTACATGTTGTTAATCACTATTTTGATTCCTTTAAAGTGAGCAAACGTAGAAATTAATTTATTCTAAACAAAATTTTAAATCATTTAGAGTTTAAACACCTCTCTAGATTTTCATTTGTTTCAATTTGTGTTTTTTCCGTTTTTTTTTATCCCAGATAGATGAGATATTTTAATATCAGTTACGACCTTTATTATAATGCCCTACAAGCTTTATAAATAATTAGCAAATAAACCAAGTAAGCTTCGTGCTGTGTTAAATTTACCTATACCAGTTTATGCACTGTGAGGTTTGAATTAAGCTTGCATAAACAACCTTTTTATTTCAAGATTGAATCTGCCTTTAAAAATAAGACTAGGAAAAATTTCTGAAATTGAAAATGAATCATCATACACAAATTAAGAGTAGCAAGCGTTCACAAATCAAGTCTAAGTTCTTTATCTAAAGGTTTACTTTAGAATTTATGGCTATCGCTGAAACAGGGTTAATTTGCGCAGGTTCTTATATACTTTATTTAATACTTTAAAAACGAAGGTTGGCCTGTTAATTAATTTATAACAGAAAAAAAGTAGTTTTTGAGAGCATGAAAGAAATCTTGAATGACAAAATGGTAAAAACACAGTTTATTGTAATCACAATAAACTCTGTTTTTACGGTTTTACTGTTTTCAACTCTTAAGAGCGGAAAAATTAGAATTTTTTTGGGGGGCTTTTTGTATGTCTTTATTTCTAGGTTAGAGTTGAAGGATTTAAAAATATGATATGAAGGATTTGGATTTTGAAAATATGATAGTAATAATATTGAACACTAAAGTAGATGGAAGTCATTTTTGGATTAGTTAGGACACTGATCATATTATAGACCAAATATATGTTAATCGGGGGAGTTAGGTAAACAAGGCACAAGATTCAAAAACAGCAAATTAATTTTATTTAACCATCATAATCAAAGAATAAGCATCAAAGTGAGACACAAGTATTCTACAATAAAAATTAGAGAAAATCTTGTAAAATAGTATCATAATAATGTTTTGCCTCATGAAACAGGGACAGCCTGAGTACTTACAATTAGTTTGTTAAGTAGCCCGAGGGAAAAATATGTTTCTCAAGGTGAGTAAAGGGAAAATTATAAAATGTTAATACATACTTCAGATCTAAATGTAGAACACTTGAGATTGAAATATAAAAAAGATGAAGTGATTTATTAAGTATGAGAAGGCGTTTAGTTTCAAATATTAAATAAGAAGATTTAGATAAAGGAATAACATAAGAAGGTAAAGTTTAGGATATTTATGTTACATCCCCACTCCCCAAAAAATTTTAATTACCATCTAAGAAATAATAAAATATTTATATGCAGTACTTTCTCTGTGATAGAGACACACTTGAAATGAAAAGAGTAAAATTTTTAATCTTAATAATCAATGTATAAAAGTAATATGAGTTGTAAAATATACACTTTTTTACACATGATGATAGTTTTTAACACAATTAAAATGTTGTCGGACAAACAAATTCCTTTGTAGCGATTGGATCTTCCTTTTTAGCAGTTTAATGACTTAACAGTTTTATCAGTTCAAAGTTATTCATTTGAAGATCACGCTAATGTTTTTAACTAAGAAATATTCTTCTTCATTATAACAAAATTTATGAAATATTTTTTGTCTCAAAATCATGTCAGTCAGTTTGTTTCTAATTTTAGACTGTTGTTTAGGAGATAATCTTAGTTCATCTTGTTTAAATATTATATATTATGAATAAATAAAATATTATATTATTAAGTATAAAGATATATTTCCATTAAAACTTGAATAAAATTTTTTGACAAATTATTTTAATGTTACTTAAACCAGAAATTTGTCATTACTTTTTTTAGATTTTTATTTAAGAAATAATATTAGGGAAGGTAATTTAGTACGTTTGTACGATTTTATATTTCAAAGTATAAAGACAAATTTTAATTGAACCCTTTTTTTAATTTCGTGAGTGCAATATATTAAGTGTTTGACCTCAGAAATGTTGTAAGACTTTTTTTCTTTTCATTTAAATTTTAAGGACTTGTTTAATTAATTATGTCAGTAATGATAATTAAAATGTATAATATTATATTATACAGTGAACTATAAAATATGTTTTATCGAAAATTTTACTTAAATTTTATGAAAACCTTTTTAGGATTTTTTGCCTCAGAATAATGTCGATTATTTTTTTTTCTTCGTTTCTTCAAATTTTGGAATGCAGTTTAGAAAAAGATGTTAGAAATGTTATTTAGAATATTTGATATTATATTATATAGTAAAGTATATAAATTTGTTTTAAATAGTTTTTTAATTAAAAGTTAGGAAAGTTTTGGATATTTTTATCTCAAAATCTTTTTTATTATCTTGTTTCAAATTTTAGACTCTGATGTAGAGAAAAATATTAGTTAAGTGTATTTAAAACGCTTGGCATTTTATATTGTAAAATATGAAAATGTTTTTAAAATAAAATTGATGAAATCGTTCTATAATGAGTTTTAACTCAGAAGTTTAAAAGCCTTTTTGCATTGAAATTTCAGGCTGTTGTTTAAGAAATAAAATTAGTTTATGTTATTTAAAGCATCTGATACGAAATTATATATAACTAATTTTGAAAAATTTTGTATGCAACTGATTTAGGAAAACTTTATAAATAAGATTGATTAAAACTTTTTTATAATGTTTTTATATCGCTGACGCCCGGTGGCTTTGTGGTAGCGCTTCGCACTGCCATGCCACAGGTCCGGGGTTTGATCCTCGGTCCGGACAAGGTTGACTCCGCCTTTCATCCCTTCAGTGGGTGGATAAATGAGTACCAAGCATGCTTGGGAACTAAACACTGGGGGTTCAGCGTTCGGCTGACCACCTAACCCGAACATCTGCTCCTGCACACCAGAGCCCAAGATCAAGAAAACTGAGATGGGCACAGTAGGCCTTGGACCTCTATGGGCTGTCGCGCCACTGAGTTTAGTTTCGTTTATATCACAGAATCTTGTTTTTTTGTTTCAAGACTGTGATTTAGGAAATGAAGTCTATTTGTTCAAAATTTTGACAAAATTCAGGCAAAATGAGAGTTAAAAAGTTTCCTGCAAACTCATGCAGAGCAGATTTTTACTTGTTTTTTCTCTTTTCGTCCCCTGTTTTACATTTTTCAATTTCTGCGTAACTTTTTTAAAAGAGTAACAGACATATTTTTTGTAATATATCTGGAAAATATCAAATTTTTTAAAAAATGCTTTTTCTTCTTGGACATATCTTGGATAGCTGATGAAATGCTTTAAAATTAGATTTTAATTTCATAAAATTCATTTGCAATGATTATAGTCACCAAGACTTAGAAAAATTTAGACAAACATGTAAAGCCTGATAATAGTTCCGTGGTAATTTCAAAAGCCGGCAAAGATAGATAAGATTTGCTTAAGACAATTGTTATTATCCGAAAACTTTGAATATCGAACGAATCTATATCTCCTTGGGTTTGTACAAAGCAATTTATATTTAATAAATGAATTACATTCCAATTACTCAAAAGATTGTTTCATCGGCAATTGACAGGAATAGAAGAGTACTTAAAATCTTTATTTAGTATAAATTTTTTTAATTAGAATGAATCTGCAATTATTTTATAAAATAGTTTAAAATATAAATACTAAATGTAAGCTAAGAGGCATTAAAAGAATTTTCTGCTTAACAAAAGTTATGCAATTAACATTTTGAATTTAAAGTATCAGATTTCCTGAAATTTGCAATTTTTCTAAAATAATTGAAATTAGTAAACAAATAAAAAAAATTAAATTAGTAAATAAATCATAGAGAAAAATTGTAAATATAGGAATTATTTATAAATAAATTAAGAACTTTAAATAATAACTGATTTAGTAAATCATTAGCCTGATTAGTAATATGTTAGTAATTAATCAACATTTCGACCTTATTTTCAATTATGAATTTGCTCATAGCTAAGTAGAAAATAATTTAATAAATAAAATTTTAAGCGCCCATTTTTAATTGTACCCTTTTTTTTTATTTTCAGACTTTGAATAATACCTTAGATCATGACAACTTGCAGTCGCTCAAGGTGTTTTGAAATTCGAAATTCGTATCGTAGAATTATTTTTGAAACTCCAGAGAAGATCAAGAACATCCAGGACATAAGCACGTTGAAGGCTGGGACAAATGCACCTACAAGAAGTGTCAGTGCTACAAATAAAAGACGCATCAAACGCAAACAGAGAGCTCTTGTATGCCGTCCACGTAAGGAAGAGGCATCGCATAAATCTGTTCGAAATAATGAGTTAGATGGTTTTGAGGACTGCGTTCTGTGTTTAAACACCGAATTTGACTGGCCACATCTCTTGCCATGTGGGCATATTTTTCATAACGTGTGTGTATCCAATTGGTTAAAACACAATGATACTTGTCCTGTATGTTTCCGAAATTGGGAAAACCAGGTTCATACCAATCAAGTACCTAACTCTTATTCTGATGATGACATGCATAGAAATCCTATACCTGAGAGTTTGGCTACGAGCGTACACACCGGAGTTAATGATGCTTCAGAATCGGATTACCATAGGCCAGCAGACAAAGTTCATAGTGCACTCAAAGGACGAGTTAAAAGGCCAATTTACCGTAGAAGAAAAGTTATAGCCCGGCAATCGATTGAACAACTGGCACTTAAGAAGGAAATATTGGATAGTGTCTTTCTGAAGAACTGTGTTCCAGTATGTGCTGTTTCTAAAGTGCTGTCACCTGATGAACCACAGTCCAGTGATCCTGATATCATAATTGATGGTGAATTCATATTAATTGATTGTACTGATTCTATTGCCATTTTTGAGGGAGATGCAATACAAGACAATGTAGACTTTGAGAATCTCAGTGAAAGTGTTTAAACATTATTTTAGCTAATAGTTCACCTATGATTTGAGTATTATCAACGGTATTTTTTTCTG